TCAGGCTCTGCCCCATTTGTCCCTGATTCATCCACTTCTTTTCATTTTCATCAGCAGCTGAATTGGGGAAGCCTGTCCGGCTGCCCCAGCACTTCCGGGTTCCTGATGGTGCCGGACCATCAGGAGTCCCGGAGCATTGGATGCCGGACTAATGGAGTTTTACTGTAATAGGCATTTTGCAATTGTTGTGTTTGGAGCAATAGTAATTTCTGAATTCCTCCAGGACTGGAATAAACAGTTTCCTTTCTTCCATGTATTATACAGAAAAAAACAAACCAACTAAGGACGTTTCTTGACTAACTTCTTCAATCTTAAGCCTGGCCTAGATTGTAAGAAAAAAGGCCTGAAGAGAAGAGGTGCATGAAATGACACCCTTTAGGAAGCCAGGACATTCTACACTGGGGTTACCTCTAAACATCCCCCCAGTGCATGGTTTTCTCCTCTCTCTCACCACACTGCCGTGTTGGAGGACTTTCCCCACAAGAGCTGCAGTTCAGAGCCAGTAGAAAACAGGTTGCCCGGAAAGCGTGACCGGGGATAAGGCATCGGCTGTGTGTCTGGGGACCCCAAGGACTGTTTCAGCCTGGCTGTGTTTGAAATGTTTGAGCTTATTTTCCCAGAGGCTCAGGTGGAGACAATTTGGCAGGGAGTGATGGTGTGTTCAGCCCACACTAGCCTGCAAGGGGCAGATCAACCACCGAGGCTGCAGCTGAGGGGAAGTGGGAGGCCCAAGCAAGCCCTGAATGCTGACGGAGCCCAGCCGTGAGGGGCTGCTAGGACAAGGCCAGGAAGCTGGCTGTGGAAAGGGGTTGCAGTGAGGGAACCTGCAGTTACTCTGGCGGTTAGGGTAGGAAACCGGGGGAAAGCTCACACAGATTGAGAGTCCCTGAGCTGGAGGCAGGAGAAGAGGGGTGGGCCTACGCTCCTGACAGGAGGCCTGCCAACAGGGACGGGCCAAGGAGGCACCTGCCCTGGGGCCCAGCAATTCAAAAAGGCCCGGGGCTCCTGATCGCTGCCACTGTTACTTTAAATCTCCACCAGAGCCCTGCGCAACATGCTCTGGGCAGCACGGAGGCTGCCTGGGGGCAGCTAGCTCCAGCCCTGCCCCTTCTGCTTGAGGCCCTGCCCTCCCACGGGTGCAGAGCCAGGCCCCCCTTGCAACAGCCTTGCCCAGGGACCCGACGAGTCTGTCAGCCCCCCTGCCTGTTTGCAACTGGGGCAGTACCAGCAGCTGGGCAGCGAAGATTATTGGAGACAGTTTCTATGGGAAGATTCTGATGCCCAGAATGGGGACGGTGCAGAGACTTGGCTGGCAGGCCAAGCCACGAAGGGAGAGCCCCTGGGTCCCAGAGAGTGAGGTGAGCAGCAGGGGCCATTGGACCTTCAAGGAGCTAAACCCCAGAGCAACCAGGAGGAGGTGCCCCAGCAGGGAGAGGAACCCCATGGAAATCTAAATGCTGCCTTCTCTCAGCTGTGCTCAGAGTCCTGCAGGGGCAGAGGTGTGTGTGTGTTTGTGCTGCAGGATCACAAAGGTGCCCTACTCATGGACCAGAATCTCACCGTGCTGAACACACACGGACCAGAAAGCTCACAATCTAGTGTATGCAGCTGTTGCAAAGGGATTCCTGGGAGTTCCAGGCAATTTTTGTTTTGATCTTGCCCTACTTTTCACTGCATGAGGCTGATTTTTGTTCCCCCCGCTTCCCGTGGGGATACTCCCTCCTCACAGTGCTTTCCAAGCCAAGCAGGAAGCCTTCAGGAGCGGTGAGTGTCAAACGTCATCCTCCCCACTCAAAGGCTGTGTCTAGACTGGCAAGTTTTTCCGCAAAAGCAGCTGCTTTTGAGGAAAAACTTGCCAGCTGTCTACACTGGCCGCTTGAATTTCCACAAGAACACTGACTTCCTACTGTCTGAAATCAGCTCTTCTTGCGGAAATACTATGCTGCTCCCCTTCGGGCAAAAGTCCTTTTGTGCAAAGCTTTTGCGCAGGAGGGCCAGCGTAGACAGCTCAGACTTGTTTTGCGCAAAAAAGCCCCGATCGTGAAAATGGCCATCAGGGCTTTTTTGCACAAAAGTGCGTCTAGATTGGCACGGACGCTTTTCCGCAAATGCTTTTAACGGAAAACTTTTCCATTAAAAGCATTTGCAGAAAACATGCCAGTCTAGACGTAGCCAAAGGGTGTTTTCCCCTCGCTGTCCAGGAGCAGGTGCGGTATTCCTCTTCCACCCAGGATGGGGGACAGTCTGCCATGCAAGGTATTCATTTATTAGGGAGAACTTTGTGAAGGTCCTTTGACAAGTACCACAGATGCCACAAACTAATCACCTCTTACCTTGTCTGTTGAAATGCTTAAGGTCCATGCAGACCGTCGCTAGAATCAATTCAACTGGCAGGATGGGGGATTTATTTACCATGCTGAAGAGCTGCTTGGCATAGTCTCCTCCTCCCCCAGGAGGAAATTAATTACAATATTGTCACAGCCCCCCATGCTTTATGAAAATTGGCTTATGACTAGGACCATGCATAACTCAAAGATGCTTTATGAAAACCAGGTCATGTAACATGCTACTTCTAAAGTTACAATCCACTGAATCTGTCTGTTCTAATTTTGTGCATGTATCATTCTTGAATGTTAAGTTAGAAAGATGAAGTATGGATTTTTTTATAGTTATGAATATGCTAACAAGGGCTATTGGTGATACTTCAAACACCTAATGACTCATTACTCAAACCAACAACCGATGGACGGTCGTTTTTCTAGGACCAACTACATTTGAGCCAATAGGACAGACATGCTACCCTGTCCTGGAATCCATCTTGAATCTAGTATTTTTCCATGGGGATGGAGGATGCCGCACAAAGTCTATTTATGCCATGAGAAGCAAGCAGTCTTTTTTTTTTTTTTCTTCAGCTGGCCTTTGAAATTGCCTGGCACACCCTAAGAAGATACAACAAACTTTGAAGACGCTGTAGACCCAAATCAGTGTAAAGAGTGACTCTGACTTGAAGCTTTTACCTGAAATAAGAACAGCTGTTTGGGGTAAGAATTTGCATGGAACAAGTTTTAGTGGATTAGAACTAGTTAAGCTTTTCTCGTTCATTTTAATTTAGTAATTTACTTTGGTCTGACTGTTTTCACTTGCAAGCACTTAAATTCTACTTTTTATACTTAATAAGAACACCTCTTTTATTATCAAGCCCACTGTAAATAATTACTTGAGGAGGGAGCAATCGCTGTGCATATCTTTCATTGATAAAGTGGGCGGGCGTTATGAGCTTTCACGGTGTGAACTTTGAGACAGGGCAAGATGGAATTATTTAGGGTTTGGGTCCCTTTTATTTCAGTGATGGGCTATCAGACCCTACACTGGCATTTGAAACTGTCTGGAGAGGCAGAATCACCCCCCTTCTCTTACCAGAAGGGGTTTTATACAATAAAATGAATCAAGGCCATTCTGGCTTTATCTCCTGTGGGCCATCTCCAAGGTGGAACTCCACTCTGCATGCAGACATCTGCTGGCTGTGGCATGTATTGAACAGTGTCAGTGCTGTAATGTGCCTGGCACACCCTTTGGTATGCTCAGCCCTCTTTTCTATTTGTTGTTCTCTTGACTTTTGCCGCAGCTGCATCATGGATAATCCAGCCTGACTATAGCTTAGTGGCTGCTGCTTTCTCTCATGGTCCAAGTGTTCCATCCCTTCGATGGGTACATGCCACCCTTCCACAACATATTGGCTATCCTGTAATGCAGCCAAAGGTGAAAATAGGCTGGTGTGTGGTCTCTTTATCAGTGCAAGGGATGGGGGCGCTCTGTGTCTTTGTGAACTGCCGCCATTGCCTGCATGCAGCATCCTCCAAACACAACATGCCCACAGCCACAGTTCCCTTTGGGAATAGGAGCAGCACAGGGCAGGACCAGGTCATGACTAGGACCGGGACTGCCCCAGCTCTAAGACCCCCCTCCTGTGCCTTCCCCAGTCCTGGCCTGGAGCTCTCTTCCCCCCCCGGCCAAAGGTGCGTTGTGATACAACAGTACCCATAAGGAATTTAAATCACTTTCACCACTGAATTCACTTGAAACCACTCACCTAAACACAAGGGCTATGTCTACACTGGTGGGTTCTTGTGCAAGAACAACTTGCACAAGAACACGTCCACCCTATGTGCTTTTGCGCAAGAGCATCCATGGCAGTGTGGATGCTCTCTTGCGCAAGAACGCTCTAATGGCCATTTTAGCCATACGGGTTTCTTGCGCAAGAAACCCCTCCTGTGCATCCACATTGCTTTCCTGTGCAAGAAGGCTTATACCGGTTAGAAAAGAGCGTAGCTCTTGCGCAAGAAGCCCTGTCTTCTGACGCCATAGCATAAATCTTCTTGCGCAAGAACCCGCCCGTGTAGACGCAGCCAAGGAGTCCTGTGGCATCTTAAGACCGACATTTATTTGGGCATCAGCTTTCCTGGGTTGGAGCCCACTTTGTCAGATGCATGAAATGGAATTTCCTGAAACTTGGCGCCTGAACTCTGCAATTCTGACTTGCAGGACCTCTCTGCAGAACAGGTGTTATTGCTAAAGCAGCCCTGACTAGTCATCAGTTCAGCCATTTAAATAGGGCTTTTAGGTCTGGGTGTAAATGTCCCATTCTGGGGCGCAGTCCAGACAAGTGAGGGATTGTATCACTATGTGCCCTGTAACAAGGCTCTGCTGCTTTTGTCAGGATGCTCCCAGCCTGCTCTGAGCGTCTGTGGGTTAAGAGCTCGAATTCAGCATTGCTGATTCCAGCAACCTGCTTGTTACCCAGTCCCCGCTCTGGTTACACCTGGCAAGGTGATCAACACACTGCCAGTCCTGAATTTCCCCAGTGTTGTCTACCCTGAGTCCCAGCCCTCCCGGGGAACACTCAGAGCACCAATAACATTTGTTTCTCTTTTAGAGAGGCAAAAAGCACAGTACAGCTTAAGAACATTGCTAGGGCAAATGTAGCTGTGCTCGAAGGGATGAGAACGAATTGGTGTATTGGAAAAATAAAATAAAATCCAAGTGACCTAGGAAGCAAATCAGACAGGGCTACAAGCAACAGTAAAAATGCTTTTGAATTAAGCTACAGTCTCCCTTGAAGGTCCTACCCTGTTTTCCAGTCCCACAGACTTTAACCCCATTGGGTCATTTAGGATGGTGTTGTTTTTTTTTTTAAATCTCTGGGAGAGCTCTCTCCCAGCAGTACAGTGTGTCTACACTGCCCATGTGACAGTGCTGTGGTAACCGTGCTGTAACTTGGGCAGTGTAGACACACTCACAGTAAATGAGGTGGTTAGCAGCAAAAAGACACCCATTAAAAATGGGAAGGAGAGTCCTAGCAAGGAAACCAGAAAGGAACAATCTCTGGCAAGTCAACTGTAAAAGTATAAACAGAATCTGAAGAGCAATTAGGAAGACACAAAAGATGGATTAAAAACCAAACAAAACAGCAGAAGCAGGAAGCCAGCCCCCCAAAATAAAAAAAGAATCAGTGGGGCTACTGGACAATCAAAATGCTAAAGAATCTCAGAGGGGTAGCAATGTTAGTCTGTAACTTTAAAAGCAATGAGTAGTCCTGTGGCATCTTAAAGACTAACCAACATATATGGATTCATGAGCTTTTGTGGCAAAACTCACGTCATCAGCTGAATGGGAGTGGAAATAAGAGAAGCCAAGAGATCTATAACAGCAGAAGTACCTGTCAATTGCAGGACCCGTGTTAATAAGGCTAAGTGGGAAGGATGTGTCCCATACATAGCTTTCGATGTGGAATTGTAAGTGTTAAAGGCAGGAGAAATTGGCTTTCTAATGCGCCAACCAGTTAATGTCTTTGTTCAAGCCCAGGGTAATATCATCAAACCTGTGGATGAATTCCAGTTCTGCAAACTCTTAATTGTAATTTCACCAACCAATCACAGTCTGCAGAACTGGAATTCATTTACAGGTTTGACACCAATACCCTGAGCTTGAACAAAGGCAATCTCTCCTGCCTTTAGCATCTGCATTCACCCAACAGTTCTGAAGGAGCTCAAGTACAAAATTGCAAAACTACTAATTGTGGTATGTAACTCATTATTTAAATCAGCCACTGTACCAGGTGCAGGGTTAGAGCACTTTTTAAAAAAGGTTCCATGCGATTCTGGCATTTACAAACTCTTAAAATTAATCGCAGATCTAGGCACAGCAGTTGAAACTCTAGTAAAGAACAGAATTATCAGAGATGAACATGGCTTTTATAAAAGGAAATCATGCCTCACCCATCTATTGGAATTCTTTGAAGGCATCAACAAGCATGTGGACAAGAGTGGTTCAGTTTCCATTGTATACTAGAACTTTCAGAAAACCTTTAACATGATCCTACCCCAAAATCTCTTAAGCAAAGTAACTAGTTATGGGTCAAGCAGGATGATCCTCTCAAGGATCAGTAACTGATCAAAAAATAAGGAGATGGATCACTCAATTGTCATGTTCATTTGCTCTGAAGTGTCTGGCACTGGTCACTGTTGGAAGACAGGATAGTTGATTGGGGACTATTAGTCTGACTCAGCATGGCCACTCTTCTGTTCAAAAGCAAACCTGTTGCAAAGGACTCAGGTACTGATTGGTAGTCTTTAGAATAATGGATCAGCTGTACTTAGATATATAATTCATAGTGAGGACAAGAAAAGCTCAAATGTATGATTTAAAGGAAGGAGATAAATGAGAAAAGCAACACCACTCAAGACGAAACCCTCGTATTTATTCAGCATTTACAACACTACTTTATTACTATCTCTTCAACACTCATTTTTATGAATGAGTCTCAAAAGTGACTCCTGTATTTTAGGATTAATTATTGATAAACTAGATACTTAGTCAACAGAAAGCAAGATGCCTCTGTTAATGTTCCCTTTAATCTTTTCCAACCATGTGTGGATTTTCTTCCCCCTGCCGCCTCGTCCATGTGCGGAATATATTTTCCATGTGCAGAGGCATGTGTGAATGTGCACCACCAGTGGAAACAACCTAGCTGTGGCTGCTCTGCTAATTCCTCTGGGTGGCATTTGAATCTCTCCTGAGCAGCTGCACAAGTGCACAGCTTATAGGGAACTGGTCTCTGTAGCACAGTCTAATTTTAAAACTATCGTCAGCTTTTGGTTCTTAAATCTTCAGTTCTTAAAACTACAAAAATCACAGGACTAAGGCTTCTGAAAAACATACTGGTATCAATACACACCCATACCCCCCAAGGTTCTGATCCTGCAGTTAGTCCTGCACTGATAGGCCCCCTTAGTCTATGTAACGCTAGTTAAATCAGTGGGGCTGTGTTGGCACAAGAGTCTTTGCATGGTACAAAGCCTTAGTTTCATTCTCACTTTGCTCTAGAGAGACACAGCTTTGTACTAAGGCAAAGAAACCTATATGAGAGTCCACTCCTGCTGGAGCAATCCTAGGGAGTACTTAAGGGCAACCTCCAGCTATGCCAATTACTTTTCTACTTCTTTTTTGGAGACCACTTCCGCTAAAGCTACACGTTTGTCTTAACAGCCTGAGTGATTCCCTAATGCTGCTTTAAGTATAATTCTTAGCACTTGCAATTTTTCCACCTTCAAAGGGCCACTGTCAACATAAGTCACATGTTGTAATCAGATGAGAGATTAGCAAAAGATGAAATGGCTAAGATCCAGTCTACTTGTTACTACTAATCTTTATTGTTTGCATTTCACTTCGCTCTGACAATGAAAGTTCTGTTTTGGGTCAGAGTCAATTTCACTTTCTCCATTCGCAAGGGTTGGGTTTCAAACGCTGCAAGAGCGTGATGGTTTGTTTATACAAACTTTACTGGACTTTTTCTTTAATTGTGGGAACATTTCTATTGGTCTCCAGTTTTATAAAAGTTTGCTGCAAAATATAAATACCAGCCCAATTTAAGTTGGCTCAATAAAACCACCATGCACCCCCATTAGCTAGGCAAGTATGAGACCCAATTTAGAAATGGGGATACTGAGGCAGAGATAGTAAGTAATTGCCCCAGGTCAAAAAGGGTCAGTATCAGAGACCACTCAGGACTTTCTGCTTCAGTTCTCTGCTCAGAGGGGTGAGGTCTGACTTGTCTCACTTATATTTTTGTTCTTTTCCTTCTTGGTATATTCTTCAAGGCGCAGGAGCCATTTGTTCCAATAACGAGAGCACAGATCCAAGTCCATGAAATGGGGATGTGCAGAGGAGCCATCTTTGTAAGCCACTACAATGAGTCCACAATTAACCTGCAATGAAAAGAATGACGCCAGTCGTTCAATATCCATATGCCGTTTCAGTTGACTGTTCCAAAGACTAAACTGCCCTTTCACCATGCACATCAATGTAAAGCTAACCCACTGACTTTAATAAGCAATGCTGTTTACAATGCAACAGTAGGAGCCTAGTTTTCCAAGTTAAAGAGCGTCCAAGGACTTGGAGCTGTAGCAGCTCTGCCACCCTAAATATCAGGCCTCAGGAGTCTAGCCCTGTGTTCTGGACAGAGTAGATTTTTGCCCATGCCAGTTCAGATTCAGCCCTTTGCCATTGGGCTGTAAGGGAATGGTAACTACTGCGTGTTCCCCCCTCTCTCTGACTGGACAAGCAAAACAACATAAAAAGGTAACAGTGAAGAATAAGGGGATATCATGGCTCAGAGAACAGGCCAATTTTTGTAAAGGGTCAGATCATGCAGCTACTTCCTGTATTTCTCAATGAAATGATCCTGCCATGATGCTATACAAGTGCTCCGCTTAATGGATCTGTTTCTCTCCATCCCTAGAAAGGCCTCCACGGGGCCCTGGATATCCTTTCATTTTCTCCTGCTTTAACCCTTCTGCTTCACATCAGGAATTACCATCCTTCAGGCCACGCAGCCTCCTCTGCAATCTATGCACAGACAGATCTGCCTCAGATGTCAAGTAATGGGCACTACTTCCCTCCTTCACTGAAGAGCTGAGCAATGTTCCCATGTGGTGTAAGGAAGGCATTTAACCACACCCATTCAATTGCCAGAGGGGACAGGCACTCTTCTAGGAGGCTACCGGGGTGCTTGCTGCTAGCTCATTTCCTTATCTGACTGCTCTCATTTTGATTCCTCTCCTTTCACTTGCCACGCTCAGCGTGGAGCTGGGTGGCTGTTCTCCCCCAGTCGCTGTGCACTGCCCAGGTGCTGTTCTCGCTGTCAACCGGCTTTCTGACTTTCAGAAGGGCGCTGCACCTATAACTCCCAGAATTCAGCTGGAGATTAGCGGGGGTCTCAGTATCAGTCCCTTCGCAAATGGTGCAGCTGAGTGGACGCTTCAGAGCACACTGACCACACGCTGCCGACCAAGGGAGGCAACTGGAGCAGCAGCACTGGTGGAATTCACACATGCTTGTATCCCTGTAAACGCTGGCTGCAGTTCTATATTGGATGAGGGTAAGTAGAGAACGTGGGTGGGGAAAATGAAGTTGAGATGAATGCTCCCGCTTGTCTCAGCAGGCTGTAGGCCTACTGACCTGGAAATCATAGTTAGCGTCGTGGTTTATGGCTCCGGTATACGCTGCAACCTGTAGTGGGTTGTCAAATGTGTTCTGGAGATATGGCTTTGACCTCTCTGAAGTCTTCCACTCAATCACACACAACTGGCTTCTGTAAAGGCAAGCAAAAGGGGAGTTTTTTAGTTCAATTTAGTGCTCATGAAAAACTTGCCATCAAACACTTTACTCTATTTCTCCTGTTTCCTGGTGACGAGGTGTCATTTGTTATGATCACAGTGCTGGTAACAGTCTGAGTCCTCCACAGGCTGGATTAGATCCAGGACCATTAAGTACAAATACCAGTGGCAGTTCTAGACAACACTGCTCTGGTTCACTTTTCCCTTCCTTGCCAATATACTATTCTAGAGGTGTGCAGAGGCCGCTCTCTAATGGTGCAGCCTCCCAGCATGTGTAACTTGAAATAAGCTATGCAATTTGCGCTATGCCAATTGCGTAGCTTATTTCTAGTCAATTTCAAAATTTGGCACTGTCTACACAGCACTTATTTTGAAATAAATCACTATTCCAAAATGTCCCTTACTCCTCATGGAATGAGGTTTACATTATATTTCAAAATTAGGGGCACACTCAGAAGACATGGAAGAGCTATTTCAGGATACCTCTGGTATCCCGAAATAGGGATGCAGTGTAGACATAGCCTAAAAGAATAGCAGCACTGCCTTCGCTGGGCAGTCTGTGTCACCTGTTCCTCTCCCTGCACCCTTATTTCTCATCCTGAATCTCCTGATTTCCCCTGTTCCATCCCTAGTGTGGTGTTTTGATGCCTCTTCAGCTTGGCAGTGTCTCTGGCTTCCTCCTCAGTCCACTCAACCTCTCAGCTGCTACTTCATGTGTCCTACTGTCAGAGCCACATAACATTGGATAGGCCAAATCTGGCCCACAAACCAGCTGTTTGATCACCAAAGTCTATAAAACGTGATGGGATGTTATAAGAGAACCAGCATCTCACCGATATTCAGCCACACAATCTACAAGTCCTGAATAGTGAAGAGTCTCATGATGAACGGCACTTTCCAGAGCTTTTACTCCACTGATGTCTCTCAGGACATGCTGAACACTTGCTAAGTAGCCAGATACAGTGGAATCTCTTTCCTGCTCTTTCAACGGGATCTGGTCAGACAAAAAGACAGATTCCAAAGCGGCATGGAAAAGTTTTCCTTGGAGGAAGAGGTCTATGAAAGATGACAGGGAAAAAAGTATTTAAACCCCCTTTCTTAATAAGCAATGCTCATATACGGGATAAAAACATATTAAAAATTACTATCCAGTTGCGATTCTAAAATAATCAGCCCCATTTCGGTGCTAAAACAGCTTCAGGGATATAGGAAAGGGAAGAGAACAAAATAAAGCATCATGAGTAAACAATTGAATTATTTAATCTGAATTAGCCTCTGCGCTGATGAATCGTCCAGGACAATTTATAAATCTAAGCACATCATTCTTTAGTCAAACATATTTGCCGTATAATTTCTATGAATCGGTCTTTGCCTATAGAATTCATGTGAGCAGGTCACCGTATCGGACGTCAAATTATGATTGTTAATTGTATTTGGATGCATCTGTTACCTGACCGAACATAATACATGGGATAAGATTTGAGTTAGGAATGACAGCTGCTTAAAAGATGCTGTTTCAGTAGAACATTCTTGCTAATATGTCTGTTCATAAAAATATTCCAGAACACAAATGGGGTGCGAATACAGCAAATTCAACTTTTCAGCTGAGCAAAAACCTAAGTATTAACCAACCATCCCCTGGATTGGGTGTGTGAGCAGGACAGTGCCTTAGCCCCACTGCCCATGGGAAAATCAATTGGCAGTCTTTGTGAATAAAAGACCTGATATGCACTTGGATTTCACAGAAACCTTATGTAAAATCTGTAAGTGTTTAAGGACTTCAGTATATCAAGCAATCCACGCTGAGGCTATCCAAATGCTGGTTGGTTTGGAGTACACAGTAAGACCGAAAACACTTTGCAAACAGTCTCCGGTACATTGAAGCAGGCAGTAGTCTATAATCAGATAACTGGCCAGCAGGCTTTCAAGTTTGCACTGCAGGTGAAGGTACCTGAATGCAAATATCTAAGTCTCCAGAACTGCCATCTCCATTTATCCAAAAGAGTCTGGGTGTCTCATAATTTTCCAATAATCAATGTTACATTGTGATGTTATGTAGTGCAGCGAATCACTTTATTCCTAAACATAAACCCCCCCGAAAACCATTGTCTGTAGAAGTGCTAGTCAAACTCCATAAATCATGTGGAAAATATCAACCTGTTGCAAATTCTAGCAAGTACTACCAAAATAATGGGGATTAAAGCATGATACTCCTACATTCTAATTTACCACTAACTATTATTAGGTTATTTGCTTCATGTAGTCCATGGGAGAGTCCCAGAATAACCAATTCAGGAAGGATCAGATATTTTTGTAAAGTGTTTTGAGATTCTGAAATGGATGCTGCTATATGGAGATTAGAGCCAGATCCTGCAGTTAATCTACTTAGTGCATGGCCTATTACTTTAAGAAGCACTTTGGTTAGACTTACTTTTAGTGTATTCTGCAAACCCATCATTTCCAAGTTCCAGGATCATCCGTTGCTTCCACCTCTCCAGGTAAAAGGCCTGTTCCGAAGACATGGTCTGCTGAAGGACATTAGTCACACTGGGCACCTTGTGTCTTTTTAAGCCAATTTTCAGCAGACACTTTGGGTCACTGTTTGGAGGCAAAGTTCTCTTATTGGAATTTATCAGAGGGACCCAATTTTTTGGAATTTTTGTTTCAGCATCTGTAACAGGAGATTTAAACTTACTCACTGGTCCATACATCAGATCATCTTCTTCAAACAATGTTTCTGGTGTCCGAGGACTGGTTTTGAAAGATGTGACAGAACGGACCAAGTTCGTGTACCTTTCTTGATCAACTTGTTCATAACCATTCTCTTTTTTCTTCTTGCTACAAAGATAGGAGGAAACATACAGGCAAACACACGGGACTTGATTTTTGCAAAAATGTTCTGTCAACAGCATTTTTAGTCTCCCAGATTTTCTGGTTAAGAGCCTGAAGTATTTCATCCTCAGAAGCAGCATTTACAGACAGTTAAACAGTTTTCTTTCTTCTGTTAGGAGCATTCAGAACCTTCCATAATTTCCTATTGTAGAAAAAGAATTTCCATGATTTGAAGAGTTACTGATTTAGTGTCATCAAGCTAGCATCCACTTTACAAATTAAAGCTGCATAGTATTCATTAGTGCCTTTCATATCAACTGAACTCCAGCCATTGAGTGCTAAACACAGTAATAGTGAGCAATAATCACCCACAGAAAAATAAAATGTATAGACAAGAGGGAAAAAAGGTGTTTTCACGTTTGAATTGAGGTGGAGAGATAAATGGAGGCTGCTGAGAGAGGGAAAAGCTGCAGTGCAGAACACTTTTACAGTAGCAAAACTGTAGGAAGGTATAGAGAAGATGGTATTAAACATGCAGGGAGAAAGAGACAAGCTACGTGGGCTATGCAGAAGGTCCCCAGAATAGAATTAATTGACTGGAGAAGGCTAATGAGCTCTTGGAGAATGGAAGAGATGTTTTCTGTACATGTGAGAAGGCAATCAGCAGTATTATGTACACCCTAGAATCTGGAGAGCTGAGACTTGGAGAAGCCGAAGAGAAGGGAGATACTAAAGGTATTCACACTGCAGTGGTCAAATACCAATTTATGCTCTTTTGGAAAATATGTATTTTAAATGACAATTGTAGACTTCTCCAAACTGAGAATAAATTTTATTTTAAAGACAAGACATTTAAGGATATTTCTTTAATACAATCTGCAGACCAAGATAGTCTACTTTATAGCCTGGTTCTGAAAAATGTTGTAGTTGCAATCTATGCCTCTGAAATAAGCGTGTTTCCTAGCGTGCTTTAAAATAAAACATAGGCACAAGTCTCAGTAGTATTAGGGCCCAGGTTTCCTTCAATTGAGAGCTAGTTACTTACCAATCAAAGTCGCAACATTCCGGGTTTTACAAATAAATCCTGTAGGCAATACATATTACAGGCTAACATGACTGTTTTGTTCTTGAAACACTTCGGTATTTCTCTTTTCTTTCACTGTATTTCCCAAACACCACACACTGTTCAAATAGTAGATGTACAAACAAAACAAAACAAAACAAAAACACCCCACACCCACCAAACAAAAAGAATCTCACAACCCAAAAAACAAAACACCTCAATGCAAAGGACTTGATTTTACAAGTTATTCCAGACAGGAAAATTCCAGCGCTTACAGAGTCCTGATGAAGTCAACAGAGCTCATGGAACAAATTGTAAGATCTATGCCCAAAAGGATTTATAGCTTAGTAGATGGAGTAGTCCTAGTGACACAGGGCCTTATACGGTCCCTATTTTGGGGCTTTCCTATAACAACTGATCATCAGGAGAATTTCTAGATGATTTTTCCACTCTCTCGCTAATAAACTATAAGAGAGAAAGTGGAAAAAAATACAAGTTGTCCATAAATAAATAAATCAACTTCCTGGTCAATATTATTATTTTTTGTTTTAGAATAAAAACAAGGTACTTTAAAAAGGAAAACTTTCCCACTAAGACATTTTGAATACCAAAATCTACAATTTCCTTGTATATTCTCTGCTATAGAAATGTTATAAGGGTAATGGAATAAGCTAAAATCATGATGTTTTTAAAAATTAGGATGGTATTGTGTCCTATTATGTTGGCTGTGTCCTTTTATATCTGTTTGCTCTTTTCCAGTGTGCAACAATGGGAAATTGACATGAATCTTGCTCTGAGCATCCTGACATTCAGACTCTTGTCAAGTTTAGTTTCCAGTCTGCACAGAAGACTAAAGTAGTCAGGTTTAGTAGGGAAGGGCAAACTAATCAATTTACATTATTTTCTTTCCTAAGACAAGGTGTGCAACTATGGCCAAAATTAGATCACAAGTGGTAACGATGTAAACTGGCAATAGGCTAAATTCTGCCCAGTCAATCTCATTGAAATTAATTGCACATGATTTGAGACAAACCAGAATAATATCAATTTTCATATTATTTCTCACTTTTACTTGGTGGAAGGTTGTTTTTCCTGCACTCTTGCTCTTCCTAGAGCAGAGGCTTTATTTTTAGCAAGAAGTTTATTCCTCTTTTTAGCAAGAAGTACATATCAATGTCAGTTCTTCTTAGACACAATTACAAGGTCAGCCCGCCTTAGATTTCCTGGGAGCCTTATATTTCCTGTTTGCTATAAATTATTGAACAGAAGCTTAACAAATAGAGAATTGATTATTACAATCTTAATGCCAACAGGCACTCTTCGTTAGTTTTGATCACTCTTAATTTTTTAATAGAATTATTGTCAGTCTGATTTAGGTCAGTTACCTGTCATAAGTTGCTACTTGCTAGACAAAGAATGAGTGATGTTTGCAAATTATAAGAGAGGCATACATTCTAAAGACTCAAAATGTACAACCTTGTGTATGAAATGATGTGAAGAGGTGAGGGTATTACATAAATATGCAAAGGGTAGAAGCTGGCTACCAGAAGCAAGTTAACATTGATTGATTACAAAAATGAGGATAGGGATCTAATCTGTTCGCTTTCGTTCACACTACTCATGTTCCCTCTATTATTTTCCATCCATGCATGGAATAAATTTTGTTATGTACTGAGGCATATGTGGATATGCACCACTATTAGAAATACATTTGGATGCTCTGCTAATCAGCTGGGCAGCATCTCACCTGAAGGGCCACCCAAATGCACATTTTACAGGGAACACGGCATACTACCAATCTTAGGGATTGGGACAGATTTGTAACCTAGCTGCTAGCATGCATGTGGTGCCCACTGCTCTCTAGTGGCAGACACACAAAAAGAAAGTCTTAGACTACTAAGACATTATTGAGTTTAATAGAGAATATTCTCAATCTTGAATTGCATGATGTTTGTGTATAAAGAATCCATGATCACTTACAAAAGAAAATGAATCTCTGCCTCTACTTGCTGCACAGAGACACAGTGGGGAAAAAAAAATCTAACCTTACTCCTTCAAACTCTGTGCCACCTGAGCCATGGTGCATATACATGAAGACGACTTGCTTCTTGGGTGAGAAATACAAGCCATTGATTTCAGTTCAGTAGTAAATGCAATGAGTATTACTTAACTCATTTACAGCAACAATATCTAGCTCTTATATTGTACTTTTCATCCATAGCGCTCACAAGATTTTATAAAGAATGTCAGTAACATTAGCCTCTTTTTACAGATAGGAACACAGTCTCCAAAAGGCATTGCGATTTGCTTAAGGTCCTGGAGCAGTCCAGTGGTCTTCTGAATCCCACTCCACAGCACTAACCACTAGGTAACACGTGTTGCCAGCAAGGACGTGTTGCCAGTAGGGATGTAAAATCCTGTTTAATTAGTTCACCAGTTAATTGATGAAACAAGGATGGGTGCCCCTCCAGCCCCCCCAAACCGCTTCCCCATTGCCTAGTGCAGCTGGGGGCTGCGCCAGCCCAAGTGGAGTGTCCCCCTGCCCATGGCACTCGGTGGTCTGCTTCAGCCCCCCAGGGCTGTGTCTAGACTGGCAAGTTTTTCTGCAAGAGCAGCTGCTTTGGCGGAAAAGCTTGCCAGCTGTCTACACTGGCCACTTGAATTTCTGCAAGAACACTGACGATCTCATGTAAGAAATCAGTGCTTCTTGCGGAAATACTATGCTGCTCCCATTCGGGCAAAAGTCCTTTTGCGCAAAAGGGCCAGTGTAGACAGCTCAGATTTGTTTTGTGCAAAAAAGCCCCCATGGCGCAAATGGCGATCGGGGCTTTTTTGCGCAAAAGCGCATCTAGATCGGCACGGACGCTTTTCCGCAAAAAGTGCTTTTGTGTTAAAGCGTCCTGCCAATCTAGACGCTCTTTTCCACAAATGCTTTTAACAGAAAAACTTTTCCATTAAAAGCATTTGCGGAAGATCATGCCAGTGTAGACGTAGCCCAGGGGTGACCACAACTAGTGAGGGGGGGTTTCACCCGTTCACACCCCTCGGCGCCACTTGTCCCCACGCGCCCTGGTGGCACACTGACGTGAATAGAGCAAGTTCAAGTCTCTCTCGTGTTTGCCAGGGGGCAGCCGGGCCGCGAGCTGGGGTCTCCTCCCAGCTCTGCCACGGGCCTGCCTGGCGGCCATAGTCACGTCACTGCGCCCCCCTCCGCCCCGCTGCCTCAGTTTCCCCATTTATGAAACGGGGATCACGGCGCCGGCCTCCTTCGCCCAGCGCGTGCAGGTCGGTTAGTGCCGGTACCCCCCGCCCTCCACACGGCTCGGGGCCGCCCCCTCAGCCGCCGGTAGCCCGCCCGCCACACAGGAACTCAGCCCAGTCAGGCCCCTCCGACCGTTATTACCTGCACTCGGGAGCACCCGCCGCTACCTTCCCGCTAGAGCGGCGCGCCGCCTCCCGGGATTTGTAGTTCTGCCTTCCTCCCTCCTCAGCCTGTCGGCGGCACAGCGACGTGAGGCTGGGAACTACAACACCCACAATGCATTTCTCCTCCCCCCGCCCACTCGCCGCGGAGCTCGGAGGGTGAGATTTACGTCAGTGGGAGGGTGCGGCTGTGATAGGGTAGGACGGTGTGAACACGTGATCGAAACAGAGCGAGCGAGAGAGAGAGAGAGAGAGAGAGAG